TATATATATATCTATATAATATATCTATATATATATATATATATATATATATGTATATATATAGAAATGTATTTAAAACTTTTTAGAGTAGGATACAAGTCCCCAACGCTACCTTGACTGCTGTCAACTTTTTTCCTTGTCTGTAAGGCGGTCGAGTCTTACATAATTTTTGCTGCACATGGTGAGGCATGTGTGTCACTTTGCACTTTTCTTCCGTCATAATATAATATATACAAACACACACAAAAAAACAAAATCAGACACTCGTACAAAAATAAAAAATAAAAAACACAGAAGACGTCGAAGAGCGACGAAGAGCTTTCTTCCTAGAATAGAATCGAATGATTAAAAAAATCCATTGTATGCAAAAACAAAAATTTGCGTACCGTGTTTCGCAGATACCCTCTTTTATTTATAGCCGTCGGGGGCCTCCGGCTTTGCGGAATAGGTTAGGTCGTAGTTTCGTTTATCAACAAACACGATACTCGTACGCGTGCTCTCTCACGAGCGTATATATCTGAAAATCATCGTGATGGAGCGTCAGCGAGAAGTTTACGTTCCAGCGCGCTCTAATGACAGAATAATACACTATACCGTTTCGGACCTGTTTACCTTGGGTGAGTTCAGACAACTCAACAGTTGCGCAACGGTTGAGAGATAATGGGTGCGTTCAGACAACTCAACGGTTGAGAGATCATCACTTATGAAAGGACTATTCTTCAAAATCTGATGCGGTTCCAAAAGTACGATCCAATCATAAGTGATTATCTCTCAACCGTTGTGCAACTGTTGAGTTGTCTGAACGCACCCAATCACTTCTGATTGGATCATACTTTTGGAAATACCGGTTTTCAGATTTTGAAGAATAGTCCTATCATAAGTGACGATCTCTCAACCGTTGAGTTGTCTGAACGCATCCCTTGGAGGAAAAAGAACCGTTCACGTTGTCGCTCGCGCGGTGGATCGCCAAGTGGAACTCCCGTCCCGACCAATCGCTTTTGAGGCGTCGACGAAGAACAAAGGGTGCGTTCAGACAACTCAACAGTTGCACTCAACGGTTGAGAGATAATCACTTCTGATTGGATCGTACTTTTGGAACCGCAGCGGATTTTGAAGAATAGTCCTATCACAAGCGATGATCTCTCAACCGTTGAGTTGTCTGAACGCACCCAAAGTGAAGAACCCGAAGTGCGGAAAATCCGCAAAAATCGAATAATCGGGTATTTTTCACCCGAGCAAGTTGGTCGCACTGACGGAAATCAGCGATCCCTGACGGAAACGAATGTCGTCGCCTGTGAAAGAGTAATGGCGTTCGCGGCGAGCACGCGAGCGTAGCCGCGTTCATTTCAGTATGCACAATCCGAGGTGCGCCAAGTAATAAAGTTACTAGCCCGTTGGAACGAAGCGAGTGCACGCCAATCGAATTCGCCATTATGGGTCTGGCTCTCGGTCTTCTCTCCGCGTGAACTGTGAAAAAAAACTCGTCAACGCGTGTCTTCGTCGTATTGTCGTACGTATAAAATTTTTCGTTTCGATTGTTTTGCGAATATCCGTGACGTGTTGTACGCGTTTCGACTTTCTTTCTCGCTCAACTCTCCGTTATAATTTCGCGACTTAACTGTATTCGCAAAAAAATTGCGATATATAAGAGAAAGAAGAGGAGAGAGAGAGAGAGAGAGAGAGAAAAAAAATAGTACGTGTACTCGAAAACAATTTAATTCAACAAATCGGAGCAACGTTAATAAGTAATTAAAAAAGAGATCGAATAACATGTAGATGAATCTAGTGCTCTGTTTACATTTTTATTATATCAACAATAAGTAGTTTACGTTCGACAAGAACGTTTTTCGGGTTTTAACCGCGTTGGTGTGTCATTTTTTTATACCGACGTTTCTTCGTGAACATTTCACAGCTCGCTTCGTCAAAGGTTTCAAGCTGCTCGGTCATCAGGTTTGCTCTTAAAACCCTGACGAAGTGAGCCGAAACGTTCGCGAAACGTCGGTTGATGAAAATGACACACGCTGTTCAAACCCGAAAAGCTCTTAAGCATCAAATATCGGAATAAGTTTTATACATTTTATACATTTATCATATATATCAATTAAATGTTGAGTAAATTTAAGAGTAAAATTGCAGTACATATGACAAATATTGTACTTGTATGTACGTATACAAATTTTGCTCTCAGATTATTGATTGCTCTGTGCGCGTGTTTTGTTAAATATTTGATATAACACTTATGCGATAATAAAAAAATTAATAATTTTGTAAGATAACAGTTTTAAAAAGAGACTCTGATAATTTATTATTTGTGTTTCCGCTTTACAGGATTCTTTGTCAAAAATGGATTTGTCAGTGCAAAGCTATGACGATATTGACTGACAGAAGAAGCATGTTTGATCATTGTTTTGTCTGTTATTAAAAAAGAGATGAAAATCTAATTAAAAATTATTTCGCACACAATGGCCGCAAATACTCAATTTGCTCATCCACCGCCGACTGTTAGCTTGCCTAACATGTCTGTGCCGCCGCCTCCGACTCCAAACTTATCGGCGCCACCTCCAAATTTAACTACCATAAACACATCTGGGAATTATCAACATCGGTATCCAAATCACAGAGAGAGCAATCGTGGTTTCTTTAAACCGTTCAGACCTTACCACGCTCCTAAGATTGTTGTGGGACAAGAACCTATGATGCAGGACGAGTTTGACGGGAAGAGGCTCAGGAAATCCGTTATGCGGAAAACTGTCGATTACAATTCCGCCATTATCAAGAGTTTAGAAGTAAATTTTTTAGTTTTGAATCTTTTTCGTCAATTTTTTTTTTTTTTTTTTGAATTCAATTTTCTGAGACTGTGTCTATTAAAATCTCTTGAATACTTACAGAATCGAGTATGGCAACGAGACTACAGGGATCGAAAAGCGCTACAACCAGACGTAATGTACTATCCTGATTTATTACCCCCACCAAGTTACATTGACAATCCCATAAATGCAGTCACTACGAGGTTTGTGAAAACGGCCACCAATAAAATGCGTTGCCCCATTTTTTGTATGGCCTGGACACCGGAAGGAAGACGGCTTGTCACAGGCGCTTCAAGCGGAGAATTTACTTTGTGGAATGGCCTAACATTCAATTTTGAAACCATTCTTCAGGTATTTTATACATATGTGTGTGTGTGTGCGTGTGTGTGTGTGTGTGTAAAGAGAAATAAATACAAACTATGTTATCGTAGTAGTGAAATATGTCTCTCAGAAACCAAAACTTTTCAGTCTCAAATGCGACAAATTTTATAAAGATCTTGCAGAGTACAATTGTTTATTTAGCCGCGTGCTGTACTTTAATAATTTTTATGACTTTCAGTGAGATTAAGAGGGTTTTTATTTCGGATTTTGATGGGAGAAATTTAATTCTTCTGTTTAGGCGCACGACAGCCCGGTGAGGACAATGGTTTGGTCCCACAACGAGAGCTGGATGGTTACGGGGGACCATGCGGGATACGTGAAATATTGGCAGAGCAATATGAACAACGTCAAGATGTTTCAAGCGCACAAAGAAGCGATTAGAGGACTCAGGTATACCATCTACCACACTAGTCCTTACATCTCTTGCGCCACTGTTGCCGATGATCCGTCAATCCTTGCTGTAGTTAGGACATTGGACATGATTCTCATTCTCTTCCTTTTCTGGTTTTGTGCCGTCACTTAGGCAGGGCAATATTGATTCTTGTGCGGGTACACAGATGATTTTTTGACAGAGTTTTAAAGTAAAAAAAAAAAAAAACATTGGGAATGACAAAAACTATATACGAAAATCATGGAATGAACCATGCTCGTAAGAAAAGTGCTCAGTCGCCGAGTGTCCCGAGTTAGATTTGTACAAAGATCGTTTCGACATTCTTTTTTTGCCAAGTAGGGAATTTTCAGAGAGAAATAACAAAAAAGTCTGAAGAGTCAAATTCTAATTCTTTTTGCGAGTCAATTTTTTTTTGTTTTTTTTTTTTTTTTTTTTTTTAAATCCTGAGTTTTATACTTCAAAAATTTATACTGTAGCGCTACGTTTGCAAAAAAAAAAAAATTTAAAAAATAAAAAATAAATAATCCCTAACGCGTTTTTCTTTCTGCAAAATATCGCGGTTTTAGCCGCGTGTAAAGTTGGTACACAAGGACAACGTAAAAAAATTTGCTTGCGTGTTACGTGCGCACGTGTCAGTAAGATTCACGACTTGTGGTCGGAGTCTTGGGGACCTAACTTCTGAAATTTCTCACTCTGTCCGTGTATATAATAACGATATACACATTTATGCTCATATACGTACGTAATTAAAAAAAGTGGCACTTAAGTTATATTTTGTATATGCTCTTAGGTCCTTATGGCTCTCTTGTTTTTAAGCGGTTTATTGTGGCTTAGATTATTTATTCGGCACAAAGATGTATATTTTTAAGAGTATAACAAATAAAAAGACAAATATATACGACTCTACCTATATATATATACAATATACATATATATAGTTTCGAGATTCCTATACATATATATTGATAAATAAAAGATAAAAATATCCTGTGTCCTTCTTTATATATCGTTTAAGTTTCAATAAAGCTGAATAAAGATATTTACATTTATTATTGCATGGCTATGAGAACAAAGTATTTTATTTTTTGGTTTTGTGTCACTTGTGCCTTTTCGCAGAGAGAAAGAGAGAGAGAGAGAGAGAGAGAGAGCGAACGAACGAGCGAGCGAGAGAGTGAGAGAAAGAGGGAGAGATAGCGTATAACAAAGACAAATATAAGAATAGAATTTATGTACACTTCGGACATTTTTTGTGCAATAAATGGTAAATTTTCAAACAAATTGCTTTTGATACATCACTCGGTGGTCATGTGGCATCAAAGAAAAAAAGAAACACAGTTTGGTTTCACAAAGCTGAAACTGAAAGAGAGAGATGATTTCACATTTGTGCCCAGTTAGAGATACACATAGTGGATGGGCTTTCAATTTGAGTGCCAGATATGACTGTCGCGGATGGTTTTTTGTTTATTTACAAAATATAATAATAACATTGCACATATACAAAACGTTCCTTTTTATTATTGATCTCTGTCTATTCCTCGATGGCGCATAGTACGTGACATTCGGCTAATATAAAAAAAATTTTATTATAAGTTTGCTCGAAATAATTTTTTTATTAATTTAAAAAAACGAGAACGATCCATTTAATTGCGTGTGCGCGCACTTTGCTCGTGCACACACTCTTGCTCACGCATTTTTTTTTCCTTTCTGCTTTTCCGCGTATAATTTAATTAATAATAATTATTTAATATACTTTTTTAATAACAAACGCGAGACGAACAGAAAAAGTTGACCGCAAAGGAAAGTTTGCAGAAGGTTTTATCGGTTTTTGTGTGTATGGTTTTTTTTCAGATAATAATTTTATATATACGCGCACAAAGAATTATTATTGATATACTTTTTCTTACGAGTTATTTGCATCACACATTTATATATATAATCGGCACGCGAGATAAATTTTTAAAAATAAAAAAATCTCTTCAGACGAAGCATGAGTAATTACAAACAATTTGAACGCAAACAAGTCAACGTCAATGACGTTGATGACAGGAGTTTTTTTTATTTGAATTTTCTTTTCTCTTGTACATATCTCTCTCGATGTTGCATGCGCTGACGATGACGAATCAGTAAATAAAAATGCACACATGTATATTTGATCATTGAGCAGAATCAGAGTGCTCAAGTTGCGCTCGCCAATCATCTGCAAAATATAAATTTTTTTATCTCGACTTTTTTGTTTTACAAAAACTCCTTATTTTTTCTTTGTTTTTACCATACAAAATTAAAACTTCCGTAAGACAAACACTTGAATACTTCGTTAATTAAGAGAGCAAATTTGTGTGGTCCTGGTTTTCTCACAATATTATTATTTGCGCTCTTGTACATCGTGTACGCGAGCTTGAACTTTTGATTTCTAACAACTTTCTCACGTCTCTCACAAGTTGTTTAAAATAAAGATAATAATAAGTTTTTTGTTTTGTTTTGTTTTTTTTTTTTTATTTCGTTTAATTGGTGCGTGGGTACAATTGTAAGATTAACTGTTTTTGACGTTGTCATTGTTGTTGGATTTATCGGCAAATAAAAGACAACAAACAATTTTCTTCACTCACGTGCAAATTGTTCAAATGTAACTTTTTTTTTTCTTTTGGGGGCGAGTAGTTTCAGCCCAACGGATCACAAATTGGCGACCTGCAGCGACGACGGAACCGTTCGAATTTGGGACTTTCTTCGTTGTCATGAGGAGCGAATTCTTAGGGGTAATGATCTTTTTTTTTCTCTTTTCTATCTATCTCCCATTTGAAGATTCTCAAAAGATATCATCTCTCTTTTAGTTGTCGCTCTTTTTCTTTGATTTTTTATTATTTAAACACAATCTAATTTTTACTACTAATTTTTATTATTTTTATATCTTTAAGAGCTTCGTATAATGATTCATTATTTTTATATAACATCTCTTCTCAAGTAATTCACATAGCGTATATTTTTATGTTTTTTATGTGTATTGTTTTCTATAAAAAAAAAAAACGTTTGTATTTGTATGCAATTACTTTTGTGATACATCTTTCACGCATCTGTAATTGTGTTACGTAAATTCGACGCGCGACAAATAACGTTCTTTTTTTTTTTGCGCAGGTCACGGCGCGGATGTGAAATGTGTGCACTGGCATCCGCAAAAAAGTCTAGTCATTTCTGGCAGCAAAGACAATCAGCAACCGGTTAAGTTGTGGGATCCGAAGACTGGTCAGTCGTTGGCGACTCTTCATGCACACAAATCGACCGTAATGGACGTCAAATGGAACGAGAACGGTAACTGGTTGGTTACCGCGTCAAGAGACCACTTGTTGAAGCTATTCGATCTTAGAAATCTGAGTCAGGAAGTTCAAACCTTCCGCGGTCATAAAAAGGAGGCGTCGAGCGTCGCTTGGCATCCAAGTCACGAGGGTCTATTCTGTAGCGGAGGTAGCGACGGCGCGATACTCTTCTGGCACGTGGGGTACTGTATTTGTTTCGTCGTCAATTTTTATTGCGCTGTTATTTTGAACGCTTAAAAAAATTTTTTACATAATAACGTTGAATTGTTTTTTTTTGTAGGGCGGATAAAGAAGTAGGAGCGATCGAGCAAGCGCACGATAGTATAGTTTGGACCTTAGCTTGGCATCCGTTGGGACATATCTTGTGCTCAGGTAGCAACGATCATACCTCTAAATTTTGGACGCGCAATAGACCAGGAGACTTAATGAGAGATAAATACAATCTTAACACATTGCCAGCGGGTACGGCTGGTATTGATGACCACGAAGTCGGTGAGTTCTTACACTTGTCTTGTAGTAATAATTCTAGAGATATATATCGTAAAATGTGCTTTTTATAACAAAAGATCACAAGACGATAATTTAGGTTTTATATTTTAAATAAATCTTTTTTCTCTTTTATCTCTCTCTCTCTCAGCTGACGAAGCGGCAGTAATACCTGGAATGGGACCGGACGACAGAATCAATACGGACAGTGAAAATGTCGAGAATGACAAAAGCGGCGGAATTCCGGGATTGGACTTGGATCACGCGGTTGATGAGGGCAAGAAATTTGCCAACAAAAAAGTTCCGTACAGCAAACCGATCCCGCGAAATTTCCAAGCTCAATGGAACGAAATGGAAGCTGAGGATATAGAACAAGTCGAGGCGCTTAACGCATTTGTCAATCAGTTAATAGAGACCACACCGGGTGCTGTGCCGCTGAATGAAGTCACGCCCAATGCTATTATATTGTACGGCAAAATGATTCCAGTTGAACGTAAGTAATTTAGTTCTAGAATTATATTGTAGTATTTTAGAAAAAAAATTTTTTATTGATTATTTTCACATTGTTTTTTTTTTTTCGTTTCAACTGACATTTTTCAGCGGGTTCAAAACTAGCAGAAGCGATCAGTAAAGGAACTGAGGCTATAAACAAATTAGTATTTTCTGGCGAAATAGAGGAGTTACGCGACGTAGTGGGTCCGCCGGACAATATAGAGGAAACCGAGGATTATCTGCATGATGATGGCGAGATCGATTATTCTAAAGTGCCTGAAGTAGATCTGCCACCACCCTTGCCTAGCTCGAAGTTTGCTCAGAATCCTGAACTGTTGAAAACTCTGAATCGTGGGGGCAAACGTAAATTCGACCAATTGATAGGCTGGAGTGACGGCGGAGCTAGCGATCGCACGTCCAAGATCCATCAACCTGTCTTCGGAGGCGTTTTCACGGAAGACTCGCAGTCTAGCGACACCGATCTGAGATTTGGTATCACCAAGTCGAGTGTCACCGGCGGAGAAGGCAACTTTTTCCACTCTCTCGGCCAAGACGACGATCTCAGGAAATCTGCTGATCCATTGAGAAGCAGCAATCACGGGGACGAGGATCTAAGGTTTAACGCGTCCAGCGGAACTAGTTGGTCCAGTTTGCGCAACGAGTTTGATTCACGTGGCAATAGTTTTGCCGACAAAGATTTCCGCAGCTCCGGTGCTTTCTCGTCGCAGAAGAAATCGCTTGACAACGACGCGTACGACGACAGGGAACGAGATCGCGACGGCGGTCATTGGGACGATGAGAAAGTGGGTGACGGGCCGCGTGGCAAGTCGGAAAGCAACAGCTTTGATAAACGTGATAATGGAATGGTAATGGGTTCCGGCGGTATGGGCAATAGCATGCACGTAATGGCTGGCATGTCCCATCTGCCGAATCACCATAATATGCAAAACATTAATCCCAACATGCCACCGCCGCCGCTGATGCCGCATCCCAATATGCCTCCGCATCCTGGCTTGCAAGTGAAACCGCCGCATCCCGGATTGCCTGGCATGGACGGTCCTATGCCGCCGCATTTGCTACCGCATCCGGGCATGCATTTCATGCCCAACGGCCCGCCGCCCGGTGGCTTCGGACCCAACTTCCGGCCGCCACCAAACAGCAATTTCGGACCGAATCACTTCAGGCCGAGTCCGTTAACGCCGTTCGGACCGAATCAAGGCCTGCCGTTTGGCAACAGCTTTCAGGGACCTCCCAACTTTCGTGGACCAAACGCAGGCCCGTTTGATCGGCCAGGTTTCGGACCCAATTTTCGCGGCCAGAGTTCTCAAGGTCAGATGAACAGTTTCAACTCGAATTTTGGCAATTTTGGAAAGAATGGACCTAATCGCGGTATGAGTCGAGGTGGTGGTGACAGTTTGGGCCGAAGCGGTTACAATAACCGCGGTAGAGGACGTGATAACGAACAGTCAAGAGGAGGAAGAGGAAGGGACAATTATTGAAGAGAACAGTAATTATTGTAAGGAACAGTGTGATTATCTCGATGGACATTCTTGTATTTCTCGATTTCCTTCGTAAAAAGGAAATTCCCTCAACAGAGATTTAATGTTACTATAATGTATGTACGATAATGTGCCGTATAAATAGAGCTCATAATCGAGTGACAATTACCAAACTCGTGTCTTCGTGGGAAAAAAAGAATTGTAATATAGAGTGGTGTTGTGAGAATTGGCAAGGCGAAGTATTTTTTTTTTTTGAAGGAACTACTGTTTCACAAGTTGCCTTGCGAGGAAATTTATGTTCCATCAGTGGAGCTTCGATGATGCTAATTGCATCGAAAACAAAAAAAAAACAAAAAACAAAAACAAAAAAAAACAAAAAAAAAAAAACGTTTAATCCCAAGGAGAAGAACAACCGTGTAACAGAGTCTGCATCTGTCTGATTATCATGTGAGAGGTGTGAAAGTGTCGGAATATAATTTTACCTCTCTTTCTATACATATATATACACACAAATATACATATATATACACATAAATATATATATAATATATATATATATGTACATAATTATATATATTATATATATTATATAATATATATAATTATTATTATATATACACACACTAAATAAAATGCGAAATAATGTACAGTTACCCTTTTATTTGTGCGTTCCCGATTTCGCGTATAAATAAAATTAATAATCTCTTGTATGATATGTGATTATACAATAATACAGCGAATAATGGATCATGATTTTGAAGTAATCATGGTTTTGAAAGAAAATAAATAAATTGCATCTCTTAAGATAGATCGAAATCAACATAAATGAAAATAATAACATAATTTGACGGGATTATTGTGTGTTTTATGTATGAAAACTCATATTTTTTAACTTTCAGTTTTGAAAATTAAAAAAACAAAAAAAATAATAAAAATATCTAATAAACTGATCTTTATATAAATGATCTGTATAATTAACAAAAAAAAAAAAAAAAATCTCAGATATTGAATATCTTCATATGTTGTTTGTATTTTTAGTTTATTCATATTTTAAGTATTCTCTCGCGCGGGCGAGAATTAATTCTCCCTTTATTGGCTAAGATCAAAGTGGAGCACCGACGTTAGTTTACTTACCGACAAATCTCGTAGTCATGGTTACGTAGTTTCCAATGTGCGTGCACCACTTTAGCGCTTCTGAAGTACGTTCCAAAAATCCTATTTTGATAAACCAGAAACTATAATACACGTGACGTGAAATATAGGATTTTAGTAACCAAAGGTCTGTTCTTTTTACCTGAACTGGCTACACTAGTTCAGAGTTCATTTTTTTTACTTCACATTAAGCCCGTTCTACATTGATCGCAAGGTATAGATCTCGTAGAATTGACCAATCACGCTGGTCAATTGGCTGATTTGATCAATACGATTCGTCAATTCTACCAGACCTGTTCCTTGCGTTTGCGCTTGCGATCAATGTAGAACAGGCTTTAGAAGAAGAAAGATAACCTAACCTAACCTAACCTAATCTCTGAACTAGTGTAGCCTAATCTCTGAACTAGTGTAGCCAGTTCGGGTAAAAAGAACAATCATCAAGGTAAGATTTCGGAAAGTATCTCTGCTGAGCCATATTTGGCCACCAAACCAAACCTGAGTTGCACGTGCGCGTCTGTAACCCTCAGAAGTGTGCGATGACATGAAGTAGTTTTAAAAAGTAAAAGCAGAAGTTACAGGGACAAAAAATGGGTTTAACCAAACAATATTTGAGGTACACACCAGCGGGTAATGCAAATATAATTGCAAGTCCTCGATGCAACGTTGTTTTTGTACCATTGGAAGCTCAAGAGGGTAGATATGTAGCTGCTGCTGCATGTGAACATGTATATATTTGGGATCTGCGACGTGGAGAAAAAGTAAGTAATTTAAAAGAAAGAAATAAAATAATAATTATTGTGTTAAAACGTAACGATTGACAGAGCATATTTTATATACACTTATATACAACTTTTTTTTATAGACACTAGTGCTTTCTGGTGAAAAAGCATGTGTAACGCATCTAACTGCGTCACCGGACAAAAAACACATAGCTGTTGGTTACACAGATGGGACAGTAAAAATTTTTGATTTGAGTTCAGGTGAAAATAATAGTATATTTGTAGGACACAAATCTGAGATAACAGCCTTGGCGTATGACATTCTAGGACACAGATTAGCTACTGGTTCTAAGGTGAGAAGTATGTTTACGAATGTAACTTAAAAAAATGTGCTTTAAAAGTTATTTTAGTTATTTATAAAATTTTTTTTTTAATATGACAGGATACAGATGTCATTGTTTGGGATGTTGTAGCAGAAACTGGAATATGTCGGTTAACTGGACACAAGGGTGTGATAACCAAGTTGATATTTATGAAGGAAAAGAATATTCTTGTTAGTTCTAGCAAAGATACGTTTGTGAAATTTTGGGATTTGGACACGGAACATAATTTCAAAACTCTTGTGGGCCACAGATCAGAAGTGTGTAACTTAATATTATGCTTAATTATATTCTTATTTCTTAAAACACATATTGCTGTTATTTGACTTGATATTTATGCAATGATAGGTTTGGAGTTTAGCTTTGGTAAACAATGACGAGTATTTAATAACAGGATGCAACGATAGAGAACTGCGAGTTTGGAAAATAACTTTTCTCGATGACAAAGGTATTGAGTGCGATACTGCAATAAGTAATTTGAGCCTGGATGAGGATGTTGAGGAAAGTGTGGATACCGACATGGTATGTATTTGCTTTTTGTATAAAAATACATTTGGTTTTACATGCCAGAAATACAAGACTACTCGAGCTTGATATTTGTCTAGAAATATCCAATAAAATGTGAAAAAGCTGGGAGCATATTGAGAGCTGGAGGAGGTCGTGTGGTCTCTCTAGAAGTTGATTCCACATGCAAAGTTGTCGGATGTTACGGAGTGGGAAATTCTGTGGAATTGTTTTATTTATTACCCAATGACGTGGTAAAGAGTAGATTTACAAAAAGACTGAAGAGAGAAAGACAGAAAGCTGAACAGTAAGTTAAAATTTCTGACAAAAAAAAATCAAAATTTATTTCAGAATAAAATTTCAATCGCTTCTTGTTATCAGGGAAGGAGACGATGCAAAGAAAGCGCTATCGAAGGAACCGTCTCTCAAGGACAAGATAAAACGTTTACCCGTCGTTCAATTTTCCGGTAAAGTAAAGGGACTCGACTTAATTCTAGGCAAAGGAAATGAACTCAGAGTTAGTAAAATTACATATTTATGTAATTTTAGTAATTTTTAAAATTACTCGACGTGGTTATTATTGTTTAAATTTTGTTGATTTTTTGTGTTTATTTATTTCGCGCAGTTGTGCGTTGGAGTTAACAATAACTCGATCGAATTACATTCCTTGATTGTGGAAGAGAAGAATCCCGAGGTGAGATGTTTGCGCTCGATAACCGTGCATGGACATCGTACAGACGTTCGAGCTATCTGCTTCAGTTCAGACAATTTGGCATTTGCTACTGTGAGCGGAGATTCTGTTAAACTATGGAACAGGTAACGTATGTACAATATAACGTACACATTTTCAAACAGCATGATTTTAATCAACAATATGCAGGATTTTATTTTTTTTTTGTTACATGACGATTGTTTCAGGCCAACGTTGGCGTGTTTACGTACGGTGCCGTGTGGTTATGCATTGACGGTAACGTTTGTGCCGGGTGACAGGCATTTAATTGTTGGCTTAAAAAGCGGTAAAATGCTTATCATTGACATTGCATCTGGTGATATTTTGGAAGAAGTATCGGCACATTCTAAAGAACTTTGGAGCGTGACATTATTTCCTGACTTGGTAATGTCAATTTTTTAATACATTCAGAAATTTAATATCTCTCCAGTAACCGCTTTTACTTTTAAATCTAACTGATACATTTTTTTTTTTAATACAGAAAGGAGTTGCTAGCGGCAGTGGTGATCAGACGGTGAAGTTTTGGAATTTCGAACTCATTCAGGATTCCGACTATCTTATAAAGGCGAAGGTTCTCTCGGTGGTGCATACAAGAACGCTCAAGCTCGAAGAAAGTGTATTGTGTGTAAGAATAAGTCCGAATAACAGATTCGTTGCTGCTTCTCTATTGGACTCCACCGTCAAAATCTTTTTCTTGGACACATTTAAGGTATCGCAGTAAATTTTATAAGCAACTTTACAGTTTTTTTTTCAGGTTTTGTTTTCTAATAAATAATATTCCGTGTACGCGTGTTTTTTTTTTTTTTTTTTTTTTTTTTTTTTTTTTTTTTTTTCTAGTTCTTCATATCGCTTTACGGACACAAGTTACCGGTACTGTGCATGGACATATCCAGCGATTCCGCGCTCATAGCAACCGGTTCCGCCGATCGCAACGTTAAGATCTGGGGTCTCGATTTCGGCGATTGTCACAAGTCCTTGTTTGCGCACGACGATTCTGTCACCGGTCTTTCGTTCGTGCCCGGAACTCACTACTACTTTACGTCTGGAAAGGATGGCAAGATAAAACAATGGGATGCTGATATATTTCAAAAGATCGTCACGTTACAAGTAATAATATTTGTTTCGTTAAATAATTTGCGCGACTTTGTGTGCGTTGCGATTGTTCAATCACGTGCTTTGTTACACACAGGGTCATGCTGGTGAAAGTTGGAATTGTTGCGTTTCGCCAAACGGAGCTTATGTCGCGTCGTGCGGTTCTGACAGAGTAATTAGATTGTACGAGAAAACTAACGAACCTTTAGTATTGGAAGACGAGGCCGAGGAAGAAAGAGCCGAACAAGAAAACGAATTGGCAACCGGAGAAACTACCGCGGTTTTGGGACAAAAGCAACAAGCTCTACCTTCCAGAAAGACTGTTAGCAGTGAAAAGGCTGTGAGTGGAAAAAAGAATGCGTAAATTTTTTCAGACACAGAATTATTACAAACTTTGCACAACGAAATATCTACTTTGTTTTGTTTTTTTTTTTTTTTTTTTTTTTTTTCAGGCTGAACTGATATTAGAATGTTTAGAAGTGTCCAAACAGTTTGAGACAGAGTTGAGTAAAAGTGAGGGCAAAACGCCCGTTCTTCCTTTGCTGATGCAAGCGTACAATTGTACAACCACGCAAGACTTTCTATTAGAAACTTTCAAGCGCGTTAGAACAAGGTAAAGTGTTTCAGAGAACACCGAAGAAGTGTTATCGCACTTGTATAAGAATATAAAAAAAAAAAAATGTGATAAAATAATTTTTCAGCGAATTGGAAGAGACGCTGATGTTGCTGCCGTATTCCGCCGCTTGTGATATTCTGCAAAAACTTTCTGACTTGTTGAAGAGGGATTGTCACACCGAACTGGCAGCCCGAATAACTTTGTGTTTAATACAAGCGCATCACGGTCCGATAGTGGCCAATCAAAATCTTTTATCCACACTGGAGATGTTGAAGAAACTCGCTGTGGAAAAGATATCCACGTTAAGGGTAATAAAACAAATTTCTTATTTGTAATAGGCTTGAAAAAAAAAAAAATGTATTGTCTCATTTTTACTTGACTACTGATTGTGTGTTTAACAATTTATATTAGGATACTGTCGGTTTCAATTTGCATGGAATGATGTACATACAACGTATCATCGAGGAAAAAGAGGGAGTGAAATTCTTTAGAGACGCTACTAAGAACAGCAAGCACAAGAACGCGCTCAAGCGAAACAGAGAGAAGGCTGTAAAGAGAGCAATTATGAATCTGTAGGTGGTCCTCTTTGAACGACAACGGAGAGACTACAACAAGTACAATCGATTTTTATATGTTTATGTAGATAAATATAAAGCAATAAACATGTATTAAAAAACTTGTTTTTAGTTTTTTCTCACAAAAGACGGCAAAATGGAAATTAGTCGATCCGTTTAAACGGGTTTTTGGGACTATCGCACACGTCGCAATCGGTAAAGGCCATTCTACAATGAGTTGAAAATGTCCCGTTGCCAGTTGCAACTACTAAGGAAAAAGTATTATTTTACGCGCTGCGGTTGCCAGTTGCTGTTGACAAAAGTTAAAAGTTGACCAATTCTCTTTTAGCAACCGCAACGACAAAGCGCAACCAGAAATAGTACTTTTCTTTTTGTAATTGCTACCTTTCGCAACTGGCAATGGGACATTTTCAACTCGTTGTAGAATGATTCTAAGAATTGATCAATTACAATTGTTTAGTGATGAATAAAAAGAGATAGAGAATGGCCGCGTCTCAGCAGAACAATTGCTGAGAGTTGTCTTGTTAAGGCCTGGTTTATGCGGGCAAATAAGGCCTTGTTTTGGCCTTGTTTATGCGGGTAATAACTATTAATTTATGCCGGAATTGGGGTACACAGTTCAACTATAGGATTTCAATGCTTCTGTTATATTCTGTTATGCTTCTGTTAATAAACAGAAATATTAAAATCTTAAGCCCGCATAAACCAGGCCTAACATTTGACCTTGATTAATTGGTTTTAAAATTAAAAGCCAATCATCATGTTTGATCGCGCGTTGCAAAGCAGCTTGTTCTGCCGAACGCAACCAAATGACGCTTTTAAGCGTTTATAGCGCGACTTGGACCATATATATTCCACGTCAATCATACTTTAGGTTATGGACAAGTTTTGGGTTTTTATAGTTTTAACATGTAACCGTTTTGATTTTACACGTTTAATATCTAATAATTTATATTTTATGCGATAAAATTGTTTTTTTTTTTTTTTTTTTTTTTTTTTTTTTTTTTTTTTTTTTTTTTTTTTTGTAAATGTGATCAAAATTATGATGGCGCAAAAAATCCGTCTTATGTTTGCAACTGCAATTATGTTAGGAGTGGTTGTCATAATACTTGAGGTGTGTATATAAACAAGCGTATAAGTGAGAGCACAATGTCAACACTTGATAGATTTTCTTCTGAACCTAATTTTTTCTTATTTTCAGTTATGCTTGCTACTCTACAATTCCGTGGATTTAACTTTTTCAGGTAATCCACTATTGTCATTGTTGTTGTTGTTGTTGTTACTGGTATTATAGAAGTTTTCTAAATTAATTAATGATTTCTCTCATAATTTTGTTTTGACACAGATAACAGTGAAATACCTATCATATTATGGTGGACACCATTTGGCAGTGATACTCAAATAAAAACTTGCGGAAATGCTAGATGTTATTTAACGCACAACCGAACATTTGAAACCAACGTGCGCTTGAAAGTATGATATCTTGTTGTGCTTCACAATTTATATACAAACAAAACAAGTTATACTTGGAACTAAGTTTTTTTTAATATAAGTTTGAATATCTCATTAATTTTTTTTTTTTTATAGAGTATTTTATTTTATGGGAGTAATTTTCGCGTTTACGATTTACCTAATTGGAGAAGCAATGTAATAACATGGGGCTTGTTTCATGAAGAATCTCCCAGAAACAATCCTATACTGGTTCATGAGAAAGCGCTCAATCTTTTTAACTATTCTTCGACATTTAGTAGATTTAGCAATGTACCGCTCACGCTTCTTGATTTGCCAGATTTAGAAACGTTAATAGGTAAAAATAAAATGTGACTGCAAAATATTTAAAAACATGTGTAATTAATATACACACGTGCGCATACGTATATACATAAATTTCTAGCAAAGACACATTTTGTTTCTGCCAAAGAAAAATCTGTATTAATGCAAACAAAAAATTTAGCACCAGTATTATATATTCAATCCGACTGTGATACTGCTAGCGACCGAGATTACTATGTCTTAGAATTAATGAAACATATTCGCGTTGATTCTTATGGTGCGTGTATAAATAACGCTCGGCTTGATGACAGGTAAATTACATAAAAATAGTTTTATACCTTTTAAAGTGAAAAATAATTAATAATTATCAATTAATAAATTTATATATATATATATTTGTTCAGGCTCAGAAATAACTATCTTGATAAATTAAACAATCATGAGTTTTTATCTTTTGTGGCTGAGTACAAATTTACCATAGCCTTTGAGAATGCAATTTGCGACGATTACATCACCGAAAAACTATGGAGACCACTTATCGTCGGTTCCGTACCTATATATTATGGATCACCATCTTTCAAGGTAATTTAAGATAGAAAGTAAATCGTTTAAAAGATTTATAATATGACTTTTACCCATTTATGTACAGATAATTTAATTAAAATAAATTTCTTTTTTACAATTAAATTTTCTATTTCTATCTGTGTAAAATTTTTTTAAGGATTGGTTGCCAAATGATAAATCTGCCGTTTCCATATTAGACTTCGCCAGTCCGGTAACGCTCGCCACCTTTCTGCACGAACTTCTGAGAAATGATTCCGCGTATGAAGAATATTTATCTCACAAGCTGAATAATCACGAGTATCGCGTTACGAATAAGAGATTGCTAAATGTGCTTGAAAAGAGACCATCGAAAGTTCCTAATGAATTTGGAAATTACGTGGACAAATTTGAATGTTTTGTCTGCGAACAAGTTCAGAATACTCACAAATCACAAGAGATTAGTATAGTAACGAGAAGGCAATACGATTGCCCTTTGCCGAAAGATCCAATAAAAAGGGATAAAAGCAGCAAACGTAATTGGTGGAAGGAACAGTGGAATATTGAAAAATGTGGTGCCAAACTGCTACATCATTACGTAATCAACAATATCAGCATTGATGTAAATCATTTTAATGAACAAAAAATGAATATGTACGACAACAACAAGTGTTGATGCGAAAAGGAGAATTATATAGACATAGTTGCAAAGAATTTCTCTGACAATTATAAACATTCGATTGTTTCATAAAATTGTTGATTGCTCGTTAGTACGAAATACGTATAAATTTTACATATGTTACAAGCATTACTCTATTTTAGTATTATATATATGTATAAATATCTTTTTTTTATATAACATTTCTTTTCTAATGTGTATAAAAAAGCAATAGAAATTATTTAAATGCATTTTACAAAAAAATTGTTTAATTACATACAAGATACTTTTTTTTTTTTACAAAAACTATCTTGCGTATAATTTTTTTTTTTACAAAAAATATGTGCAAAATTGTGTAATATACATAATGGAAAAGAAGATGTGCGTGTATGTGTACATACATATTGCGTTCCGTCGGGATTTAAATCTGTCGCAATCAGGTGATTCTGCTGTGAGCGTGTGTTTGTTTTATATAGATATATGTGTACACACACACACATGCAATAGTATTTTAAATAGTATTTTTTTTTGCAGACAGCATTATAATTTATTATTAAGAATCTTGTTTAACGTATTAATGATTAAAATTTGTGCCACTTCGCTTCGGCATTAGAAAATATAGCATAAATTTTGAACGAAAGCTAAACTTTTCGCAAAGTAAACAAAGTTTATTTTTTTTTTTTTTTATTTTTTTTTGTTTTCACTTCGTTGGTTTTACTTGTAAAACTGGCGCAGGTACTTTCATTAGGTCGCACAAATGATTTCTAACAGGACGTAGATCTGCGATTGGTCGTTCCCAATCTGTCTCATTTAATTTTGTAAGTATATTTGCCAAATCCTCCTCCGTTATATCCATCTCTTCTCCGTAAAGAGTTAACGCCTCGTAAGTGCGCACGGCGGTTGTTTTTCTCAAACTTGTATATTTGTGACATAGAAATATACTCAACTGACAAAACGCTTTCTTCGCAACAGGACCTCGCACCTAAAAAAAAAAAAAACATTTTACATAAAAGTAAGATTTTAATCATAAAAAAAAAAGAACAATTTCAGTCATTTAATTTAGTCGATTCCGGCAAAGCTATATTCCGTTAAAATTTAATTGCTCAAATTTTCTGTATAAAAGTGTTGTTTTCACAAACCTGCAATAACTGGCAAAAAACATTTATACTGCTGATAAGCAGTTTCATATTATTAGAACATTTTATTTCGCGCTTCAATAATCTCAACATATCCTCCGCAAACACATCATCATTGTCCAAGACGGACTGAACGCAACCTGAACTCAATAAACGATCCAAGAATGCCAGCATCGACGTTATCATCCTTTCATTTTTGTGATTTTTCTCGAATATATCTAAGATCATAGACAATATCAGAGTCCTATATGTATTTTTGGAATTTTCTATGTCGATTTCTTGTAAATAAGTAAACAAGGAAACGCTGGAGTGTTTTACCTGGTAAAATAGAAATATTGTGAATCGATTAACAAAAAATCTAAATAAAATTTTTATTAAAATAAGATTGTTATCGAAGTGATTACTAATTTCTTTTTTTATTTCTACTATAAAATTCTTTATTTTAATAAATTTATTAAATTTACCAATGATTCGCTCAAGCCACCAACGCTGAATATAATCCCGGTTAACACGTGGGAATTATACAATGGAAGATCCAACATCTTGATGAACCGCGGAAACGTTGCGGATTCCATTCTCCATTCGATAGTCTCCTTGCATTCGTTGTAAGGAAATATAGTTTTCAACTCATCGATATATGGAATATTTGGAAGCGGTGGGTCGCTGTGTTTCAAACAAGAGAAAAAATAAATTTTTTGTCTAACACAATCGCGTCCCGCTAATTAATAAGACAATATGTATCTCTAAATTAGTGATAAATAGAGATTACTCTCTATAAGTCTTTTAAACTAATAATATGTGAATATAAGGACATGAAGAGCCGTTCTCGCAGGTGGTTGTGCGTAAATGTGAGAATATATATATATGTATTCACGTGTAATATTTTTCACATGAGATTTTTTTGGAATTGAAATAACAATTCTTTAAATCAAATATGATGCTAATATTGCATCTTATATATGCAGGGTCCCCAATAACGTGAAAAATATTACACGTGAATACATACATATATATATAGTATATATTCTCTCATTTACGCACAACATCCTGCGAACTGCTCAATATGTATCTCGCTTCATTTTTTTTTTTTTTTTTTTTTTTTAAAGGATTAAAATCAGAGAGAAAAAAGTGAGAGACAAAAATTAACATCACAATTTAATAAACACGCATACCTGTGTATAAGAGCACTAAAAACAATACCGGCTTGAGCTCGAATTCCATCTATCCTTTCGACAGCTTGCCGCGCGATACCGCCAATGACATTGCTCATTAATTCTTCGGTCAACATGTCGGACAAGTTTGCTTGGGACACTAAATTTGTCAATACCTAGAGACAAGAGACAGATATTTTGAGAGTTAGCAAATAGAGCTCTGTTGTGCATTTATTACTGCGATGAAAAATGTTTTAAATTTATTTAATTTATTTTTTGTTTCCCGCAATATTTACGCACATGTAATCCAGTTATGGCCGCTTCTCTCACCCAAGCGCCTATATCACCGCGACTGTCTATTGTGTATTCTTCAAGAGCCATTAGATAACAATCGTACAGGTGTGGCACGAATATTCGCCACTTGTCTGAAACACGAACATTTTAAAAATGTTTTCTGAATAAATAATTTAAGTAAGTTAATTTTTACAGGTGAGATATGGATGACTCCATAGATAGGAGGATCTCACCTGCCTCGTCGATTCCCAATGTCTGCAATATCATTACTAATGAATGCAAAGCTTCCTTCCTACTTTCCGCCCACTTTAACGTACTCTCGTTTATGCGAGTGCACGAGATCAACGCCGTTATAAAGTCATCCACTCTTTCACGAATTACAAATAATGGAAAATAACCTGTAAAGAACGAAACGAATTAAATACACGTAGGTTTGACACCGTATATACGGATATAAAATATAAAAAAATGTTAAAAATTGTCTTTTGTTTGCAAACCTATTGCTTGCGCAAATCCTATTCGAATGAGTTGATTGCTCGACTGCAAAGATTCTAAATAACGATTCACAATGGCATATCGAGTATCGCAGTCAACATCCACGTAATACTCCATAAAAAAATTCTTATGCGCCTCGGCTGCTTTTAATTTAACTGCGGACACCTCGTGACTCAAGCACTCCTCCAACAACTTTTGCCAGTCGTCTGCGTTAATCGTGACAAACAAATATATAAGTGTGTGTTGACGTAAAAAGAATTTATTTTTAGTAAATCAAAAATTCGTTTACTTTATTATACTTGCCTACAACGTCCGAGAAATGAATGGGAAAGTGAACGATGGAACATTTTTTTATCAACACGGCACAAGCCTGTTTCATCAACTCCCCTCCGAGTCCTTTAAACAGTCCTCTGCTTCTGAACGTACGTATTAGATCCTGTATGTCGGCCACAGCCGTAACACCTGAATAAATAAATAATCGATCCCGCTCGATTAATGAACGTTTCAAAGAAACGTCTATATTTTCATTATATTCGTAAAAAAGAGAGACACATTTTCTCACCGATGATATTCTCGATTTTGTCGTTAAGATGGTTGTACAGAGCTTCGAGAATTTCCGCGGTGGCTAGCACCGCGCCATGTCTAACATTTAAATCGATCGAATTCAGCATGTCTAACAACATAGGTAGTACCGTGTTTATCATGTAATTCGGATCGGTCACCGTCAGATTGAAAAGCGACTGTAACGAATCACTAATAATTTATATATAGAACTGAAAGTGCATTGTGTATGCAACACAAGTACATTCCGTTTATATCATTGTTGTAAAAAAAAAAAAAACATCTTACCTTGGCCGAAAGTTCTCTGATCGCGGTGTCCCAATGCGTGACCTTCTTCGCGACCAGGTGGTCTATCAAGGGATTTCTGTATTCCTCATATTGCGCAATTTGTACACTAACAGATAATGCTGCGTAAGCTTTGATCAAATTTATATATATATAAATGGGATACGCGGATATGTCGGACGAAAAATGTTTGTTGTTGTGTCGAACAAAATTTATTTACCTGATTTTGAGATACGTGTGATTTCTCACTCCAACTTCAAAATAATCAGCGAGGGTTAGTATGTCAATGCCGTGCGGAAAATTGCCTTGTCTTCCGACGTTTTCTTGAAACGCGGCGGACGCTGCTCTTCTACAATTTATCTAACAACAAATGCGATATTTTGAGCGTTGAATTATAAGTGCAATAAAAATAAAAACAATTAAAGCAAAGTCACATGTACGCGATTCGTACTTCTCTGTCAAAACAGGTCACGACCAACAACATTGCCGCGATTTCTTTAACGTAAGGTTCGAAAACATGCGGATCGTAAGCTCTTGGAAATGACCAGCATATGTAACAAGCGGCGTCTCTGATCAGATAACCGATCGATCCGTAAGCTCTGGGTTCGTCGAAGACCAACGCTTGCAAAACCACGGGGATTACGTCATTCAGACTATGAGGTAACAATAGGCCACGTCTTCCTAAAAAAAAATATACACGTTAGTGCAAGTAACAGTAATAAAAAAATTTCTAAAATTTTTTAAGCGAGAGAAAATAGTACCGAGTTCAGCGAGGGCTAAGCAACCACCGTGCCAGGCCGAATCCGACTCGCGTCTAGAAAACAAGTTTAGCACAAATCCCAGAACGTCGTCAGCCAAATCCATTGGCAGTCTGGCTGTTATTCTGCCAATACCTTTCGCAGCAGACCATCTATATCCGGACAAATAAAGTAAAAATATGTACACACATTGTCATTTGAATGCTTTGTGTTCTTAGTTTACATATTGAAATATTTGAATAAAAAAAAAAAAAAAAAAAGAAAAAATCACTCACATACCTGATGGTAATTGCTTTATCTCGAAGACTTTCTATGAGTTGTTCTATTATATCCTCAATAGCTGGCGGAATCTCCTGATCTTCGTTGTCATTCGAAATAGGTTTCTTAAGATCGGAAAAAGTTTCAATGGTCTCGGCATTGTCTGTTTTTACATTAAGCATGATGTTTATTGGCCGACTTATTTTTTGATAACGCCACGATGCTAATTTTGTTCTCAGTAACACCAGACCTGCGAAATATTGCAAAATATTATTAGATGCACTTTGTAAAAATCATTTAAATAAAATGTAAGTTAAATTCATTTGAAGATACCTATGCGTTGAACAACTTTTATTCCAAATTTCCTAATGAGATCTGCCGGATTGTCACTCAATCGAAGTTTCAATATATTGTCAAGAAGCATTTGACTATACGGCTTGACATCTTCCCTGGCACTGTGTTTCAATATTGAAGCTATTACAGCCAGAGGCCCGTGTCTGTAAGGATCATCCTCTATGCACTGAAAATGTTTGAGAACATAAAAAAAAAATCTTATTTTTGAATTAGTTAGCCATTTGTTATAAACATGTTAAAATCCCTCCTTTTTTTAAAGTAATATCTGTGTTTTTATAATATATTATATATTATAATATAACGTGTATTATATATTATAATACAAGTGTTTTATACCTTTAAGCACCACATAATCATTTCTTCTAGATATAATCTCTTGACATCTGATCTTGTTAAAAAGTTTGCTATTAAAAATACAGCTGCCACAGCGCACGCATCTTTCAAAAGACAATATTGTTTGCACACTTTTAAGATCCTAAAATATATTAGAATTATATAAATTACACCGTCAAAGCATTACTCGTCATTCTACCGAGTTTTAATGTATCTAAAAAAAAAAAAAAAAAAAAAAAAAAAAAAAAAAAACATACCTGACAACAATAGTTTGTTCTAAATCTATATTCTCAGATGTCTCCAGTCGAGATAGAGGAAATGGTATTTTTGAAATAATGGACAACCATACAAGAAGAACATATCTGGTTTCCCACGTTTCAACATCTGTCGGATCTTGCTTTTCGAGCATTCGGAGCACGGGTAAGAGATCTATCACCTCGTGCGGAAGATACGTGACTATCTTCTTGTACGTCTTCACAGACATGATTATAAATAAATATTTAAACGCGTTGTGCTTGATAGTTTCCGCGCAATTGTCATCTTTGATGATCGACAATAAAGACTCGAGTATTCTCTCAAGATAAGGATCTAAGAGTTGATGTTGATCCTGATATTGGGACAAGATGAAATTAAAACGATCCCTGTTTCTCTCGACTAAACTCGGTGACAAATCCGGTTTCTTCAGTTCCGCTATCAGAGCTGTCACTTCATCTATTTCTTTGAAACCGTTAAAGCCGCATCCGACTTTTTCCGGATCTGCGCGATCGTTCAGCACCATTGTCTCATCAAATTTTGTCCCGTTGAGTTTTCGAATGTGATAATTTTCTGTGACCACCGCGCCACGCGCATACGACACACAGGTTTTCAACGCCTTATATGTATTCGATTACTTATTTGAAAACTGTCATAACCGCATTGACATTTTTCACGGATCTTTATACTACGCTTTGACTATATAAGTATGGACTGCTAGTTCCCCCCACTTTTCCCATTTAAGCAATGTATAAGCAGCGTAGGTAACATAGATAAGAAATAG